CGTTTCGAATCTCCAGCACCATCTATAAACAAGAAAGATAGAAAACATAAAGATAAAAATATTAAGAATATTTCAAAAAACGTTAAAGATACTAGTCAAAGTATTCTTAATACATCTTTGTCTAGCACAAATTCCACACCCAAGTTATCCTTAGATGTGTACTCCCCTATGCTTATACATGTTCCTTTGAATCCTGATTTGGCATTTATTTCTAACGAATTATACGAAAATTATTTGGCTGGTACAAATTTAAATGCCAATAACGCCTTTAATAACCAAACAACCTTTAAATTCATTTCATGAAATGAATTTTCAGAGATTTAATTTAACAAATAAATTAAATGACCTAAATTCTGTATTAACCCATGAACACCAAACACTTTTTAATATAAATGATTTAAATTTACATTTAATTAATTCTTCATATAATGAAAATAATGTGTCTTCGTTTGAAATAAATCAAATAGCGGAAAACACACCGATTATACAATCAAATAATACTATGGTACAACCTTCACAATTCTATAATTTTTAATTATTTTTGATTACCGTTATTATAATAATACAACGTTATGTATAAATTTTAAATAGCTCTTTATAATAACTTAGCGATAGTGTAAATAGGTACATATAGAAATATTATCATTATAAATATCTTAGGACACATTTATTATCATGTATAATTAATTGTACATAAGCTTTTCCTTTTCAGTTTTATATTAATAATACTGTAATTAGAGATGTACCTCGCGCGACATAAATATAATCTCACTTGTGACCTCTTATCACGCGCGATATTTGACTCACATAAAATCGCGCAATGTAACCTTACGTGAGGTTGTGAATATAAGTTATGTTTATCTTGCGCGAGGTACATCTCTAATAATAAATAAATTTAATAAATTTAATATATATTTTTTTAAATCATGGAGTTTGCCCAATACGTGAAATTATGTAATCTAAGTGAATATTATATAATCAGGAATAGTAAATACATTAATACAGTACATATCATACATAGTTTTTTCTTTTTATAATGCAATTATAGACACATGTACTAAACGAAAGTTGTCTTATCTAATTTTATTAACATACACTTGATGGTTCATTATGCAAAACAATGTCACGATAAGATCATGACGCATTTCTGAAATGAATTGAACGTTGTAAAAGTGTAAGTTAGGTTCTAGGTAGGACTAGTCCGGACCAAATATTCCACGACCTCTTTCGACGCCTTCCACTATTAGGGTTATTGTTTAGTAATAGGTTGTAGATATTGGTTGGTGTGATCATCGTCCCGACCTACCTTCGGACCACGGATTCCTTTTCGCCTTTTACAATGCACGTTCAACATTAACATTAGAATTCGTTTCAGAAATGCATCGTGATATTACCGGTGACTTTGTTTCGCATAATGAACCATCAGATGAATGTTATTAATAAATTTTTAGATAAGACATCTTTCGTTCAGTACTTAGATCACGTATTTCACGCATTGGACAAACTCCATAACTTAAAATATATATATTATAGAATAAATTTATACATCGCACCATGCTACATACTTATATATCGCACACCAATAATTTAGGTATAACTAAAATGTTTTATTTCGATTTAGTTAGGGTTAGGGCAGGTTCGATTTAGGGTTAGGGCGGGCATATTTTATATCAAAATTTTGCAAGGAATTTTTTTAGTTAGAACACGAAAGGCTGTTTGCTATTGATTTTTTTAAAAAAGTTTTTTTTTGATTTTTTTTTTACGTTACACCTGATTTTGAAATTTGATTGGTGGCGACAAATAAGTATCGCACAGTGCAAGATTAGCCAATTAAAATAAAGCACGACAAATAAGAGTATCGCACTGGCGCGATATATAGATAACTCCTATATTTTATATATATCGATATTATAATTTATTATTATTATTACAAAATTGAAAAAAAAAATTTATGTACAATTAATTATACATGATAATAAATGTATACCTATTTACAATATTGTATTATAAGAGCTATTTAAAATTTACACATAACGTTATATCATTATAATAACTTAAATCAAAAATAATATTAAAAATTATATAATTGTAAAGGTTGCACTATATTATAATTATTTGATTGTATAATCGGTGTGTTTTCTGTGATTTGATTTCTTTCAAACGAAGCAACATTATTTTCATTATATGAAGAATTAATTAAATGTAAATTTAAATCATTTATATTAAAAAATGTTTGGTGTTCTTGGGTAAATACAGAATTTAAGTCATTTAATTTATTTGTTAAATTAAATCGCTGAAAATTCATTTCATGAAATGAATTTAAAGGTATAGAAGTCAAAATATTCGAAGGTAAATTTGTATTTAAAAATGGCAAATTTGGGGATGTTTGGTTATTAAAGGCGTTATTAACATTTAAATTTGTACCGGTCAAATAATTTTCATATAATTCGTTAGAAATAGATGCCATATTAGGATTCAAAGGAACATGTATAAGCATAAGAAAGTACGCGTCAAAGGATAACTCGGATATGGAATTTGCGCTAGATAAAGATGCATTAAGAATAGTTTGACTAGTATCTTTAACATTTTTTGAAATATTCTTAATATTTTTGTCTTTATGTTTTCTATCTTTCTTGTTTATAGATGGTGCTGGAGATTCAAAACT